AGTATCTGCTGGATACAGTGGTGCAAGCCAAGTGGGCATGATTTCGGGGGGGGGGCATTCTTAAAATTCAGGTAGCACACTGGGCTACCTAGGTTCAAAAATAGGTTGCCCCAAGTAAAATTTGGTTGCCCGGGGCAACTGGGCAACCAGGTATTTTGCACGCTGGTTAAGTAGCATCCATTACTTTTTGGCTGACAGCATTTTGCAAAAATATCTGGTCAACTACAGATTCTGTAAGTCACTGACTAGATGCTACCTGACAGTTTTCAAAATCTATCCACAGTTGCTTGAGTACGTTTTCTTGATTTTATTACCCGGATGTCTAACCTTCATTAAAATATTAAATACTCCAGTTTAGGGGTAATTGGTTTTCAATGATTCTTTTTGTGAGCCATAAACATGTAATTCATAAGAATTCTGGGCAATTTTCAGCAAAAATGTAAATTTTATCAAAACTTCATGTATCAGTAAACTGATTTTTTTTAATTAATACTTACGGTTTGATTCCATCCATCAAGGCTTTTTCTGTTAAAAACCTGCCTTTTTTGGGCTTCAACTGTAAAATAAAAAGGCAAAATTATGTTTAATGGGACATAAAAAGATTACATGTGTACGCAGATAATTTGCCAGCTAATGCAAAACATTTCCCATCCCACCTTTAAAAGTACTGTTGTTCTAAACAGTTTAATAAAAAATTAATCTATTACAAGAGTTACTATGATCATTATTGATAGTAACAGTTTTAGATATAGAGTTGCTACTTCACCATTCTGATCAAATTTGAAAGTACATTATTTTGCATTACTTACAATAATCATTAATAATTAAAATTAGATTAATTATTAACTTACTTGCAGTAACTGAATTGCCTTAAGTATAAAGTCAATGGCAGCATAAGAAACATGGACATACCTTACAAATATAACTTATAACAAGGGATTCATCCCTCTGGGATGTTTTTCTTCTCTTGGACTCTGTAAGAAAGGTATGAAATAAAAAATAAACTTTGATGCTCAAATTACAAACAAGTAACAAGAAATTTGAGGTTTCAGACATCTGGGTAGCATGCAGGTCTCTGCTTCCTGAATTCCCCCTATGCTGACCAGTTACATGTAAATTCCCTTTTTTGACCTCCCACCAATCTGCCTGTCAATCTTTTCCCCAACCAAAGTTCTGTCAACCTACTTGGTCAAACAGACAAACTCACCCACAACCCCAGCTGCCAAAAATGATAATTTCATAACTATTAATAAGCAATAATAGACATGTATTATGTACATCTTTGTTCTAAAATTAAAGGAAATAATTACTAGATACATGATTGTATAATTTGATATGAAACAGAGAATACGAAAATGTAACTAAAATCTAGCAAAGATCTACAAAAATCTGAAAAAAGAAAAAACAATTTTCTAACAAAGTACCAGGTTGACTATAACGGGGACAGTAACTGTAACGTCACTCAGTAGAAAGGAAATATCTTTAATATTAGTTACTTACTAGGTGAATTTCTAGGACTGGATGATCTACTGGAATCATCAGATTCTGAGTCAATGTCAGAAACATCACAACTGCTTCTCCTGACCACAGGACTCTGGGAAGGAGATCTAGAGCTGCCAGCTTTGGGACTGAGATCATGGTCAGGTGACCTTGACCCCGCCCTAGGACTGAGACCTCCTCCATGTGATGATGTGTCAGGAGCTGTGATTGGATGAGAGTAAATAATGCAATTAGAGAAAATTTTTTTGTACTTGTATCACTATGTTCTAAACTTGTCTATATATGTAATATATGTATGATATTTGAAGCAAGTTACTGTCTGCAATAGGCAAAAATCTTATGCAATGTTGACCAACGAAAGCCGTTAAAATCAGTTTTTCGCGCTGGTGCAGTACGTTCTGCTGATGTGCTGCCTAAGAGAAAGATTCCTGCTCACCTCTGATTGGCACCTGCCAAACAGTCATGACATCATCAGACATGGGAGACAGATGGTACGGCTTCACACCTGGGGCAGGAAAGGGACAATAAAGGCAACACCATTTTCATTGGCGTCGTGTGGTGTAGTGGTACATCACTGGCCTATAAAACGGGGAGACCCGGATTCGATTCCGGGTCGTACCCGAACAAGTCCAAACATGCGCCGCGATGTTGTACCCTTGGGAAAGGTACTTTACACGACTTTTTTACTTGCTGTTACAGTTCTATACCTCTAGCTCTATTCCTAGAAGTGGCCAACGGCCTTGCATTGAGCGACACCGTTAAAAAAAATAATAATAATTTGTTCGTTCTCAAAATTTGTAAGAAAATCAATAATACAGGTATCTATATAAAAAAAAAACAGGCCGGGGCAAACTATGATAGCCCCAAATGCTAGCATAGGAGCCACAACTCAACATGCAAATAAATAATGAATATACAAGGCATGTAAATTATAATGCATTGAATTTACTACATGTATAAATCAATGCTGCAGCATTGGCAGCTGTTACAAACAGAAAGACTAAGTAAGACTTTGCTTAACAGAAAAAGGCATGCAGACCATAAGGTACATTATTTTGATTCGATATGCTATAATTATAGTTCCGTATATTAATTATCATTTAAATGTATACTTACGAACTTTAATCTTCGGAAAGTATGTGAAGTCTTTTAATGCTTGATAGAAATCTTCCTGTAACACAGTATTTCAAAGAAAATTTCAGAGAACAATTATTATTAATAGTGCTGCTAAACAACTGCAAAACTGTTTACTACATTTATTTGCACTTAAACCATAAAAAAATTATAACATTTGTTAGAGAAAAAAATGATAATATAAACAGCTATACTTGCTAGTTGTGTATTGTACAAAAATGTATTTGAAATTTGAAATGTCAAGTTGTGTGCCACTTAGCAGTTGACTGTTTAATTACATAGGACAGATCTGTTATCTGCAGTTTGTCCGTCAACTGCTAGGTGGCACAGTAAACAGGTGGCTACAATGCTATAACCTAAACCTAACTACAGTGTGTCTATCAAAACTTAGGAATGTAAAACAGATAGATTGAATGACAAATGCAAAACTTTGGCATCTGCTCTCTTATTGGTTGAACTTTTATTGATTGACACACAGCCAGATTGGTCTAGAAATTCAGGACTAATAATATATTTCTGTGTCAGACTCACTGCATTCGGAGGTCCATACACTCGCACTTCTGGTACACCAATGCTCTGTAGGGTCAGTGTCATTCCTGGTACAACAGAAACAAGAAATATTTGGACTGTGAAACTCCAGCCTTTGTCAAGGAATGAGCTTCTGTGACGTCACGCAGATAACATACGTGATTCGGTGATCAGTGGATCTTACTAGTAGTAGTCTCCACCAGACGCTTTTGCAGGCTGGATAAATTGAACTAGAAGTAAAAAGAATGGAGCAGGCCAGGGGAGTTAGCTGGCCATAGAGGATACAGTTTGCCTGGCCAGCTACATTCTTTTTAGGCTTTTTAATTTCAGGCTGAATTTCTACTATTTATCAGCCTGCAAAGGTGTCTGGTGGAGACTATACATGTAGGATCATAGCTTGCAGTACATGTAAGTCTGTGGTGACAGTTGAAAATTTGCAATTGGGTAATGTCTGATTTCTTGTTTTGGAAATTACAACTGTAGTCCAAGCATACCTGGATACTTCACATTATGACTTCTAAAAGCTACGTACATGTGGATTTTTATGAAAAAGTAGAACTGACTGAAGTTACCTCCCAAACCTCCCACATTGGTCCAGCTCATTCTGGTTAGGAAGATGTCCTCCATTCTGCTCACTTTCACTCTGGAAAAGGTCAAACATCATCAGTAACGAACCAGCTTGAAGTTCTCTGTACATATCAGGGCTCTCATTTTTTTTGGGGGGGGGGGGCCTACATCAATTTCGCATCCACATAGCCTAGCGGCGACCAATGGGTGACCAGCATTCCGCGCCACGCCCACTTTGCGGTCGATTCCATTCGACAATGGGGTTGAACAGCATCCTTCCGTACGGCGCGGCAGGTAATCGGAGTTGGAAATGTCAGATAAACAATGTAAGAATTGGTGTATTTAATAATGCAAGTACCGAAGTTACGGGTTAATTTCTCAGCACTCGGTATACAGAGTTGAGGCGGCTTCCGTCCTAGATCTCCAGTGCCGAAGTTACGTCAACACTTGGTGTGTCGGCGGCTTCAGCACTGGAAACTCGGAATCGGCAAATCAAACCTTGTCTTTAAAAAGGGTATCGAGATGCTGCCACTCATATTTTCGAGATCATACCGCCTGGGTAACAAAGTTTAATCGGGACAACAAGGTTATCGGCAGGACAGGACTGCACGGCCTCTTTTCTTACATTTTCACAGACAAAGACTTGGCCTAAGATACTGTTTTGTACGCCGCGCGGCCGACGTAAGCACCAGAAGCCCAGTGCCGAAATGGTTTAACTCGGCTCGGTAGTTATTTTGCTCCAACTATTCAAAGACACAGAATTTCAGAAAACAATTTACAAATGTATCTTTTGAACAATTTTGAGAAACATCTTTTTCAACCATATCTTGCTAAAGCGCGGGTTGTGGGTGTGGCCGAAATGCTGCCCGCCTATTGGTCCCCGCTAGGCTGGCTTGGATGGGAAATTGAGGTTCCGGGGGGGGGGGTCAAGTAAAAAAGGACAACTTCTCATGGTGCATGTCAAGCCAAGCATGCCAAACTGGTATTCTTCCCCCCAAAAAGTATAAACTCATAAACCATGGAGATCTCTACACTATTTCCTGCTTAAAGAAGAACAAATTTTGTTTTCCCCCGTTATACTTATAGCTTCATTCTAAAGTAGAATTTTAACTTTTGAAGACATTTATGAAGGGCCACAGGGTTCTCCCCAAAAAGAAACACCCCTACGCTGCCTGGTTGAAAGGCAGTAGGGGGTTAAATCACAGCATAGGGGGCCCAAATCACAGCGTAGGGGGTCCAAATCACAGCGTAGGGGGTCCAAATCACAGCGTAGGGGGTCCAAATCACAGCGTAGGGGGTCCAAATCACAGCGTAGGGGGCCCAAATCACAGCGTAGGGGGTCCAAATCACAGCGTAGGGGGCCCAAATCACAGCGTAGGGGGCCCAAATCACAGCGTAGGGGTCCAAATCACAGCGTAGGGGGTCCAAATCACAGCGTAGGGGGCCCAAATCACAGCGTAGGGGGCCCAAATCACAGCGTAGGGGTCCAAATCACAGCGTAGGGGGTCCAAATCACAGCGTAGGGGGTCCAAATCACAGCGTAGGGGGCCCAAATCACAGCGTAGGGGGTCCAAATCACAGCGTAGGGGGACTCCAAATCACAGTGGGCCCCAACACTCAAACAGCCTTGTGAGAACTACATGTATGGAGTTCTGTCACCTTCCCCAAGGCAGTACTGACTGGTTCCATTTCATTTCCCAATTCATTATTAAAACAGTCACTCAAGGAACTGGATAGCATTCTTGGCAAGGCATTTCAAGTAGCATTACTGTAACAGTAACTTATGCACACTTATGCATCTTAGTTGCCTTCTTGTAGGTTAACTGAAAGATGATTACTTACTTGTGTTCCATCATAATTCTCTGAGTCCCTTCTCCGCAGTTGAAAAGATATCTGTACAGAAGACAATTATTTCAACAGTAATATTATACCTATTCTAATTCAATTTACTATAGACTGAACTTTATCCATGTCTTTGTATTAAAAATGTGTTTGCAATTTGAACAAAATGTCAAGTGGTAAATGTTCTGGATCTGCTATCTGCAGTTTATCAGGAAACTGCTAGGTGGCACAGTTAACGGGTCTCTCAGTCTCACACTGGTGCAGACAGGGTATGTACCATACAAGTTGTAGTACAACAGAACAATCCTATAGGCAGGTTAATTTCTCATAGTTATGTTTACCGAAGGAAAACATATTGTTTTTGTTCTGTTTCTTCTTCTTCTCAAAACAGTGACCTCTGACCTGACCAATGACATGATTTGTTGATGTCTGTCACCATGGTGACTGGTGTTGGGTAAAATAATGTTGCAATTTCATGGTCTGCTCTGCTCTTGTCACCAATATACAAATGTACTCGTAGTACATAGAATTAACAGAGCAGAGTCAGCAGACCATGTCTGAAGGTAAATATTATGCAATTGCTTTGCAATTGTTACTTCTCTAGTTACCTTTTACTATCGCTGAAGACGAAGAGAGCAGGACATGTGTCGCGGGACCCTGCACCGATCACCTGCAGGTAGAAGTTTGCCATGTTGTTGCTGAAAGTCTGGCCTTTCTTTCGTTTCTTGACGTGGCGCAATTCTTCCGCCATGTTGTTCTGATTCTGAAAATAAAAGACAATGAAAGAGGCAAAAACATGGACTTACCACAACCATTGATTTGTGGGTCTAATAGGTTATACATGTAACTTATAATATCTTTAATAAACTATGGCAATCACTCGCTATCTTTATTTGTACTCAGATACAGATTCATAATACAGATGTACAGATACAGATTTTTCCGACTAGGATGACCGTGTCAGTCCCTACACCTGAGTGAGGGTTACAGTTGACTCGATGGCCTTCGCATGGATTTGTTAAGGTGGATAACAGGTTGCGAATCTGAGACCCACACACTTGGGCATCCGTCTTCCCCAGCAGATCCATATCGAGGGAGACGTGTTGGTTCCGGTTGGGATGGTTACGCTCAAGGTCCACCTCGACTACGCCAGCCCGCCTGGCGCTGCTCTCGTCCGCCAGTTGAAGACAACTGCCGTTGGAGACTTGTCGAGGAGGGGGGGGGTAAAGTGCCTTTCCCAAGGGCACAACGTTGGTGCGCGTGTTCAGACGTGCCCCTGTGCTCCGACCCGGGTTCGAACCCGGGTCTTCTTGTTTGAATTTACAAACACTCTAGATACCACTACGCCACACTTGTAATATAAAACACACATAATATGGCATGGATAGCAACAATGTGTAAAACAATAACAACAGTGCTCGAGACTGTTTTTTTTCATCAATGGATAAAAAAATAAAATAGACGAATACATGGCATTTCTTAACTAGCTAGTAAAACCCTTTTTTTAAGTTGTCTTGTGCTTACAAATTAAAGTGTCCAAATAAGTCATTTTGTGGCCCATTAAAGAAACGTAGAAAATTCCCATATGATACTAGTCACAGGTCATACTACTACTACTACTACATTGTATCTTGTCAGCATTGTGATACATTTGTGATAGTAAGAATCAGGATGACATACTAGAAGGCGAAAATTTGAGACTGTAACAATTACAGTGTATTTATATTTTTAGCTGGGTGTATTGGCAGAGAGAGAGATTGACAATCTCTACTAATACAATACTCTTAAGTTTTCGCCTACTATTATATCATACAGCTTCTCTATATCTCTCAGAATAATTTCTGGTAAATTTGTAATATCTTTTTTAATGAGTGTACTCACTAGCCTGGATGCCAGCCCAAAGCACACTGGACACAAAATATCTCAGTGTGCACACTGAAATATTTTGTGTCCAGTGTGCTTTGGGTCTGGCATCCAGGCTATGTACTCACCTGTAGATGTCTTCCACCCGGAGGAAACACTGCAAGTCTGGGCTGTCGTCTGCCGCCCCCCTCCCCACCTTCACTACCACACCGACCAGAGAAAACACAGAACCGCCGCCAAAAACACTTCGTCTGGGCACGACAAATACTGAAACTAGCTGGAAACTGACGACAGGGGAGTAAAGATTGCAACATGAAGGGTTTCTTGGCGCAATTTTTCAAAACAAACCCCGAGACAAACGTGCGAGATTTCGTCCTGTTGCAGCTTTCTAGCTCCAGAAGGTCATAGGTTACATGTGCCGCTCTTGAACCCAGGGTACCCAAAACAGCAGGCCTGCAAAACAGTTTAGGGGATAATATATTAAAATACGACGCACTATCTCACTTTCCTGATACTTGTAAATGGAACGTTTGAAAATGCATAGTTTCAAGCAAAATGCGGGGGAAAATCACTGCCGGGTACTATGTTTTAAATGCGAAACGCGACAACAGACGGTCTCACAGCGTCACCTATCAACATTGATAAATATTGCAACAAGTCCAAAACGGTCACCAAAAATTCGGTAAGATGAATAAATGTACAAATTTTCGCTATTTATAAAGCTCACTCGGTGGTTTATTCGATGGTTATCGCATCTAACCAGGGATTATTCCACCGTAAACTTATACACCGAGGATATAAAGCGAAAAATTAACCCATTCCAAAACATGCGCGAAATAGAGTGCACCTGTATAAACGTTATTCCAAAACGCGGTCAAATCCAAAACACGTTTGGGAATGTGTATTGTGTGTTGGAATGTTTTGATACTGGAGGCGTTTCTGGCAGTCCCTCATAGTATAAGCCTATGAACAGTGGAGGGCAATGTCTCGATTCTGACCAAGAATTTACCATTAAGCGTTTCTAGCCTTCCTACATTTATCTTTAAATTGCCACCCCACCCCCCATCCAGAACCTCTTAAAAAGTTGGGCGTGTAGACTCATTCAATCATCAAATACTTTAAATACAGCCTTTGTATACAGAATTTAAATGTACTTGATTTTTAGTGTCCCCAATTTACAAATGGTAAAGTCCAAAGAAAGAGGCGTTCAAAGTTTCCCTCCGGTTGAAACACTCCTTCTGATTGGTCAATTCACGACGCATGCGTACCGGAAGGCGCTAAAAATTGGAGAAGATGATCGTCTGGAGGTTAGAATTTACCGAAAACGCCTAAAACTCCCCAAATCCACCGGAAGGAAGGGTTTTTCGGGCACCATGCTGGATATACAGTAGGATCGTCACATCAGAAGAGGTAAAACTGCAAAGAAACGACATCGCTGTGGGAAATTTTAGTCAAAACGGCCTCGGTTTGCTATTGTGGGGGTGGGAGGGCGGACTGACAGACACCGGCAGAGAGCTTGCACAACTCGAACCAAGGACTCCAGGTTCTTCTCAAAGACAGTCGCCTCATTTCTAAGAACAATGGACGCCACCATGAGCATGAGGAGGGACGTGAGGATCCTTCTTGTTGGAGAACGTAAGTAGAAATAATTTGTAACAGAACTACACATTACAGTACTAGTACGGTACACTGCCCCCCTCCCCCACCAATTTATATAGGTCGCAAATTAAGTATAAAATTTGATCTAGTAGTACGAGTGATCTGACCTATACATTGTACCTTAGTCTATTCTTAATAATAATATTTCTTATACGTGTGTAATGTGAATAGGATGTTATGTAGATGAAGTACATTTTGATAGAAGCATGTTTTTTTTAATAATATATGTTTTATGTGGTACGTATACCCTGAGATCTGACTTCCTGTCGCGTTAGCTTCATCACGTGGAAAGTCATTTGTGGCCCCTCCCTCTTTTCAACCTTGCTGCTTTCGGTCACGTTTCGCGAACTGGATTATTTCCTTTGATAGCACTAACAGCATCTTACTATTCCAGCTATAGATAAGACATTTTATCAATACATTGATTCTAATCAATATAGACTGCATCTCTAATCATTATAATGTAACCCAATGATGGCCACTTCCCAAAAATATGGGAAGCAATTTTCCAAATGGATTTGCCATATTAGGCACTCAATCAGTAGCAGAATTAGGAATTTTCTTTTTCTTTATCCATGACTTTTGAATTTTGAGAAAGAAAGCTGAAAGAAAACTAGCAGTTGTGTGAAGGAAGGAAATAAAAATTATGTAAACTGCAAATGTTTACTAGTCTATATGTTATCATATTGTTATGTTTATGAATGTCATTGTTGTGATGTTTATTACTATGATATTAATACCATGCCATGATGGATTATTTGATGAAAGTATGTCTTTTTTTATTTAATATGATATTGTTAAGGTTACTAGTATTATGATATGTGATTTTTATGAATCACATTTTTTTTTTAGATTTGAACATACATATGTATTGATGATGATTTGGAGAAATGAAACAAACACCAATAGTCATCCAGTTGCAAAATTTTGGGGAAATATTAAATTGAAGTACATGGCTTAATGATATAATCATGTTAAGTTAATTAGAATTTCAAGGCTGTTCAACAAAATTGTTCAGCCATACAAGATTCTCCTTCTGATTTCTTTTAGGGGCATTTTTAGGGGCAAATTTTGCTGATATGACATCTCTTTCTATATCTTTACACACAATTTTTTGTCTATAATAATAGTATAAAGATGACAGATTCGGCAAAATTTTTTCTGTTATGTCCGAGAAAACACTCTGTCAAATGACAGAAAGACAGATGCCATTGTGTTTACATGATGCATCTAATTTTTCCATTGTACTATAGAGCTACCCTATGGTATGTTAATGATTGTTATAACTACAAATTGAATGCCACTTGGCTTCTCTGAATAGGCAAGGACTTACTACTTAGAGGGATAAATTTGCTTATTGTTGAAAACAGCCTTCTGACTGTTTTATATGTGTATTAATAATAGTATCACGAAAGTAGCATATATTATAGATACTAGTAGTCTGACTTGTACCTTAACAATCTTCATACTATTTTTTTGCAGCACAAGTAGGAAAAACCTCACTGATCCTGTCCCTTGTGAGTGAAGAATTTCCAGATGAGGTAATGACATGTAGTTTAAAGCTAGACTACAGTACTTATAGTACTCATGTAGAGAAAAAAAATGGTAATCGTACTACAATTTGCATAGATTCTGTCCTAGTCACCATCAAAGCATGTCATACGGTATCTTCAGTTAAATTGTTGTTGTAGTGGGACCCCCCCCTACACACACACACAAGTACTACTACATTGTAGCAGTAATTGTAGGGTCCAGGAAGGGTCCAATGAAGTATTCTAGCAAGCCAAAAATTTGTGTGTCTTTAAAATTTTTCGTGACGTAACATCATGTTAAATGCCAAAGACGCAGCAATCCTAGGAGGTTGTTACATTTTACAAAACAAAATACAAAACAAAATACAAAACATTATACTATACAAATTAAACATTAGAAGTGTGAATCTCTGAGTTATTTCCTTCTCCCTCCCCCAGGTCCCTCCCCGTGCAGAGGAGATCACCATTCCTGCTGATGTCACTCCGGAGAAGGTCCCCACTCACATAGTGGACTATTCCGGTAAGATATTACATGTACCATCACTAGTACTGTACATGTAGTGCTGTAAGGAAGACTTTCGCGTTAAAAGCGGAAACAAGGTTTTCCCTGCAATAACCTCAGTTCATGAGAAATGGAGGTTTTGTTATGTACAAGTGTGTGTGACTGTGTTTCTCTCTCTCTGTCTCTGTCTCTCCCTCTCTCTCTCTCTCTCTCCATCTCTTTCTCTTTTTCTGGTGGTTGGCCATGGTACTGCGGTAGAACTTCTAGTTTTCATATTTTTTATCCTGTACATGCCAATTTGTGGGTTTGGTCCCCCTATTATAGTATTAGCTTGTTAGAGTTAGTGGTTGAAACAATTCTGTAAGTAAGTACATGTATATGTAAATTGGAAACGCATATTTACACATATACCATAACCACTGAAAAAAAATCCTCTACATTTAACTTCCAGTACACATTGTGCATAGCATTTTCCAATCCACACACCCTTAGTGCAACCATTTTCGTAATTGTAAGCGTTGCAAAGCAAAATGGGTAATGGAGTGAAGTCTGCTGTCTCTGATTTCCTTAATTGCATTGCTGTTTCTTTTTTTGCTATAGCTCAAGAACAGACAACAGATCAGCTAAAAGATGAAATCCTAAGGGTAAGGGTTCTATCTTTATTTTGTAAAATCTTCTTAGTGTAATTCATACATTTCTAACATGACTACAATTAACTACAATCCAAGGCTAACTTGTCAATGCCTTTATACATACCTAAGTAATACTGGAATTACAAAATATAGTGGTGTCTTGAACTATGCATGTAGTATTTTTGAGATTCCGTAAAGTAGATGACATATTTTTAAAATCAAATCATGCTTCAATATACATGTATATTATTATATAACTCCTTGTATGCTAGTCATTTTAAACATCGGGCTATTCAGATTATGAAGTACAGACTATCCATATATATTCCCTACAATACCATCCACTTGATACAAGTATTATTGAATAACATGACTAATTTGTTTATTTTGTGTTGCAGGCAAATGTTGTCTGCATTGTGTATGCTGTAGACAACGACTATTCTGTACAAATGGTAGGCCTGGGTCTATACAAACATTTCTGCCTTTTGTGTACTGGTAGATAAATATAAAGTTGTATTTACTAGAAATGATACATTTACTACTAGTTTATAAGTATTATAAATGGTTTACTTTTATTGACAGATCACCCAGAAGTGGTTACCATTTATCCATGAGACAGTAGGAGAAGACCTGAGGATGCCAGTATTACTGGTAGGGAACAAGGTAGGTCTGAGCTGGGAAAGACATGTTTGTTTGTTTGTTTGTCTATTAGACTAAACTCTGTTACAGCATATATGGTCCTTCAGGGCTTGAAATTAAAGGTGGTCCAATGGCCATGCACCAATGACAAAAATTTAGGCTGGGACAACTAAAAAAAAAAGGAGCTCAAGATTCTTTATGAAAATTAGTCCAATTAGGAGCTCAGGGTAGAGTCCAAGCCATGACACAGCTTCCAACACCATATGGTTACAGAAAGTTTTCAGTCTAACAATAATTGGTACATGTTAGCACAATGCATAAATCAACTTAATATATATAATAACAGGATTAAGATGTTCCCAATGGCAATAGACCAGTCCTGCTTACTTTTAAGGAATTGTAAGAACTGCTTATGTCACAGGGGGACATTTCGAATAGAACACCGTTTTGGAACCAAAACGTTGAATGCGGCTTTCCCCCCTGGCAGATCACTGTCAATGGTCTGCTTTCAGATGCCAGAATTGACTATCTGGTAAGATTGGGTTACATAGAAGGAAATGGGACAGCCATCTTTCAGTGAAGTATCAGTAATTTTAGGCTCATTGTACGGGCCCAGGTCAGGAACTTTCAGAAATCAGAGTCCCTGATGAGAGTTACACACATCAGTAAATCTTCCAGGGGGGAACAATGCAAGCGAAAGCCATCTCTAGTCGAAATGTCCCCCCCCCCTTGTGATGTAAGCACTGATCTATTCTTAGACTTGACTTAGAGTATAGGTGTTTGTCATCAAGCTCAGTGGGGCCTGACTAGTGGTGTAGTCAGGCCAGATTCTTCTACATTGGTCTAAGTCGAGTTTTCATTGTTGTTTTTCAGTCTGATCTTCAAGAGGAGAGTTCAATGGAGGTAATTTAATTTGTATATTGACTTCTACAGTTAAATAAATCTAAAAACTTGGCTGTATATATACAATAGTCAACAAATTGCATTTTTGCTTTCTGCATATACATACAACAGAGAACGTTAGCTATAACTTAATTGTATTAATTTGTTGTTATTTTCTACCTTTCAGTCCATCATACCAGTAATGAATCAGTTCCCAGAGGTAGAAACCTGTGTGGAGGTGAGTGTAATAATTAGTATTCTTAGTTGTTTAAATCAACTATGATATGACTGATAGTGATTATGGTAAACAAAACTGATAATCGAATGCAAATTTAATACAAAAATCCCCATCACAAATTTACTAATACATCAGTATTTATTATCATGAAAGTTCATCTGTGTTGGTAATTACAGAGTTAAAACTTTAGATCCAACACAAAAAGTTCTCTCACCTAGAGCTTTCGACCAGTCACTCTGGTCTTCCTCAGTAGACTGACCTACATGTAGTGAAGCTTGTCACGTGGCTTCTTTGAAGTGTGACCAGATACTAGTACCTTTGACCCAGTGTTGACGTCACACTTCAAAGAAGTCACGTGACAAGTCTCACTGGGTCAGTCTACTGAGGAAGACCAGAGTGACTGGTCGAAAGCTCTAGGTGAGAGAATTTTTGAGCTGGATCTAAAGTTTTAACTCTAAACATCAGTTACTGTATTTATTGTTGATAAATATTGTATTTCTTGAATGTATTTCTACTGGTCTTGAACTAGATTTTTTTTTCTTTTTTTCAGTGCTCTGCGAGGAATCTGAAGAACATCTCAGAGCTGTTCTACTATGCCCAGAAGGCAGTTCTACATCCCACAGCACCTCTGTACTGTGCAGAGGAGAAAGAGGTAAAACTTCAGCCACAAGAACTAACATGTAGATTCACATTCAGCTTTATTGACATTGGTATGACATGTTCGATGAATTCAAAACATGAATTGAGCCAACATTTACAATTTTCACAATATTTGAAATGCATGTAGAGCAGATAAAAACTGCAACATTTTAAAATGCGATTTAAAAACACTTTTCATGGACAATATAATATATATCATGTCCTCAAGTACAACTATTTATACATACTAGTAATTTACATATCGTTATGAAGCAGTCAGTTGTAACATGGAGTTCCATGGTTGTAAAAATTAGTTGCCAGAGTAGTAGTACAGTTTCAATGCTCCAGGGTGTACATGTACAATAGCCGTGTCACAAAATGTACAATGTAAGTAACAGGCCTGTGTACGTGAAGAATTTTCAGATATAACTACAGCAGTTTACATGTAGGTATTAGACTTTAAGTAAATATTTCACCTGTAAACTTGTGCTAAATTTTTGTGATCTTTTCCAGAAGATGGTTTTTAATATAGTCTTTTAGTTTTGGCTACCTGTAACACACATCCATGTCTTATCCAAGGACAGTTGCTAACTGAAATATTAAATTTGAATGACAGAATTGGATGTCTGGATGTAGTAACTTGTATCTCAAGTCATTGTTGTTGTTGGTTTCCAGTTGAAAGTCCCCTGTGTGAAAGCCCTGACAAGGATATTCACGGTAAGATAGTGGTCATTGCAGAACTTGTACATGTAGAATCAAGTAATGAATTGTGAATTTAAACCATAAGCAGATCTACATGTACTAATTACTGACAGCATCAGTAATCCTCGAGGATGACAAAGATAACAAGGTTAAGAATGTACAGCCCCTTATTTGGACACTCAGACAAAGATCATGCATGGACCCCTTGCCTTATGTTTTGTAGAGTCCTTGAACTTTTTAGTAATATTTCTAAAAAAGCATTGAACTACGATGTACATTGAAAATAAAGATACAGTTGTTTAAACTGCAATTTTTTTTTTACAATATTGTTTGAAATCTTCCTATAACTTAAGTTTCTTAAAAATTACTTTTTTTAATCTTTTTCAAAAAGCTGCTTTTGAGATACAGGACAGTCAATGATGGACATGTACATGTACAATCATGTACTTAATAAGTTTCTCAGCCCAAAAACTCATTTTAACAAAGTTTGTTGTTCTTGTTTCCAGATCTGTGATGCTGACAACGATGGTTTGTTAAAAGACAGAGAGCTCAATGAGTTCCAGGTTTGTATGAGTCAGACATCTATTTTTAAGCTTATTTTATTTGTGCCAACTCGTTATTTTCTTACTTCTTAATTGATGGGCCATTAAGACCTCTTTTGATCAATAAGCTTAACCTTTTTGTTTAAAAAAAATGTGACTTTCACAGTGTTCGAAATACCAGTCTGCAGTCTGCAATCTGCAGACAGATTTTCAAGCTTGCAGAAGAAAAATTTATACAATCTGCAATTTTGCAGCAGTAAAAATTGGCACTAGGGATTTGACACTTTTGGCCCCAAGGACAGACAACACTTAAGCTCCTGTTTTGAACAACAGGAGCTTCTTCACTAATTTGCATCAACCTTGTCTTGACTTGTTTAATCTTTTGTTTCCTTTTGGACTTCCAAAAATTTGTCTTCACCAATTTGCATATCAATCAATAGTTCATGCTTATAAACCTGCAAGATTGTAGTATGGAGGCTTGTGTATTTGCAGAAAGTATTTCTAAATTGCAGAACAAAATTTTCACTCTTCAGTCTTCTGCAATATTGCAGATCACTGAAAAAAAGTATTTCGACCACTGCTTTCAGTTACATGTACATGTATCTACATGTATTGCTACCCCCTTGTTGTAGACAGTCCTCTCATACTGTCAAATACAGTCTACTTATGATGGCATCTAAATGTACATGTACATGTATGTAATTAATTGTGAATTGTTAACTTTTAGTCTCAATTGTTAATTTTTAGACTAGGTTTATATGCATATTTTAAATTTGTATAAATTACATACATGTAAATGAGAACTTGCTTACGAGCTGCAAAGAGTGATGAATAATAAAATGAGTAATAATTTGTGCCATTGTTGCATTGCTCTTATATACATATATAGTCTTATTCGTCTAATGAAATAAAAAGAATTCCATTGCCGAATTGCCAGCCTTGTTGTACATGTATTTGTATGTGATTGTTAGAATAGTTTATAAATTTTGTGTGTTGATTGTTTGTCCCAACAGAAGAGATGTTTCAATGCTCCGCTGGCTCCCCAGGCCCTGGAGGATGTGAAGGCTGTGGTGAGGAAGAACTGTCCTGATGGTACCAGGGACAACGGACTCACACTGCCAGGTCAGGGTTTAACAGTAGCCTGCTGTAATTCCTGATTTTTTCACTGTACTGTTACAGTACCGTTCGCGTTATAGTTACCCTAACGGCCGTTACTTTTCCGTTTTTTTCCCGTTAGTTTTCCGTTATTAACTGGTTACTTTTCCGAAAGTTTTCCGTTACTTTTCCGAAAGTAACGCGTTTCTTTTCCGTTAGACTTCTCCATTCATATGCAGGCGCGGTAACATCATAGGAATAGTGGGAGGAGTACTAATTTACCTCATGCGGGGCGGGAAATTACCGATACACACCGCTGGAACAGCGGAAGGAACGTTGATCTAGCCTGCATTTTTCTATATTGTAACGTTTAAAACGTTTTAACGATCACCGGCGCATCAATTAGATCGACATTTTGTTTTGTCACTGTTGCCCAGGCAAGCGTTTCTATAGTTTGTCAACTTTATTTTGCTGTTTTTCTCTGTTTGTTAACTTATTTTACGACCGAATATGCGATCCTAGATGATCTGAAGTTATATTAAACTGCCCCGGTCCGCCGTGCATAATAGGCGGCGGGCGTGAGGTAACGTTAGGGATGTGCAAAAAACACCGCGAAAAATTCCTATAACACTCGAAAAAAGGCAGCATATTTAGACGTGCCCACAAGCATTTTATGGCTACTTATTGACCAGTTTTGGGGAGTTTTGTTATGTCCTTGGAGTTTTGTTTAGAGTGGGACGGAAAGCCGTGCTGCGACTCCGACTCCGTGCACTTCCGTGTTACATTACGTTGTATGTGACCAACAAAATTACGCCAAAGGCACCACAAATCCACATGTACGTATATGTTTTCCCGAAATTTCTTTTGAGTACACATTTCGTCACCAGGATGTTGCTAATTAGTCGTAGAAATAAGGTAGAAACCAGCGTAAATGTGGCAATCTCGAGATCGAGCTCTCTGCACTTCGCGCGTGGAAGGGCGCCCCAGCATGCACTCGGCTTCGTTCTAGCCAATCAGAGCGCAGGTCATCTAAGGTGAACCAATTAGAGCGTAGCTGCTTGCATATTAATGAGAATCTCTGATCTGGAATGGCGGCTAGCGCGGACATGAAAAAATACGTCGCTGTATTTCAGGAGATACATTTGTAGGCGTCAGCACACGAAATTTATATTTAAACAATGGCCAATTTACGTGAACCGAACACGAGCCATTGTGCTTTGTTTGTTATGTTGTGGTTTGGCGCGCCATGGCGCCAAGCCAGCGGCTTCCCTTTAATGTGCGTTCAGTTTCCTCGGTGGGCGTGGTAAACCCTCGATCCCCCTTGTGGGGAAAAAGTACGTGGGAACTGATATATTAAAGACGCTACATTTGTAGTTCTACGATGAATTCCTGCCGGTGTGCTCCTATAGGAACGCCCACGAACAGCGCAAGTTTGTCAACAGCTAACTGTTCAACAAATACGAGACAGGTAGGTTCTGTATAATGTCCTTGGTTCAACCAAGTGTGGTACAACTTGCTGTTTATGTTAGCTACTGTCGCAATCTCCATGTATGTTTGAAGGCGACGGACACCTCGGTATTTCTCACAAGTAGCAACGTTTCATACTAGTATAATTATATTATGGAGATGTGTTGAAGCTGACATCGTGTTTTCTTTTCGTTACAGGGGTCATCTCACTGCACATTTTAAAGCCATTAAGTTTCGTCTCCTGGACTTCGAACTTCCAAGAAAACATCCCAAAAATCACCACGGCATTTTGAAATTTAATACGAATATTCAGTCACCATTTTTAGGGGCGTCCATTTTAGTCTTAAAACTCTTAATTATACGATAGTCCGGAATGACTCTATCGTCC